GAGGGGTAATGCCTACTGCCTCTTTCCGAGACCAGGGACTATCTTGTCTGCAGAACAGAATGAGGACTTGGCCCCACTGCTCCCCTCCCAGAGTATGGAGGCTGGTGCTTTTCCCCATCACTCCACTCCCCCCAAGGAACCAGGAGGAGTAAACAGCTTTTGCTCCCAATGCCTTCCCCAGCTCATGATCACCCCAGTCTGCTGAAGGCACAGGGAGCAGGGTCGGGGGGTGGAAGAGGGGATAGGCAGCTGCAGGCTGAATATCTGTATACTGCCTCTCATGAAAACTTTTCTAGTGGTGGAAACATCTCTTTGTAGTCTGTGTCTTTTTTTCTCCCTGTTGCATGGACACCCCCTCCACATGTAAGTTTTGAAACATTTTGAGTGCCCTCATTTCATTTTGAGGCTGTTTTGAAGCCTTTTGTTTCATTTCAATTCCTCTGGTTCAAGCTTGAAATGAGTTGAAACAGCGTCAAAACTAAACAGCCAGTGAAATTTTGCACAGCTCCACTAGTTTACCAAAGCAATAAAACTTAATTATTATTTGAAAAAAAACTTTTTGGAAATGTTTGCTTAATGTACAGCAACCATGATCACAGACCAAAATTAGTTCCATTTCATTCATCTCAGATTATAGTTTCCTTTGCTTCTTTTTTACAAGGAAAAGCTCATATTTTATTTTTCTATAGCTGGGCACATAATGCTTGGCTTCCCTGTGACCTACCATTATTCAGCACTGGGAGCATCTACACAAGACACTTACTGAGCAGTAGCTTAATAACATTGCTCAGTGGCATGCTGGCCAATAACTGTGCTAATACGCTACTACAGTTTCCTTAGGCTACTGCACACTAAGCAGCAGAAGAAAAACCGTGCACCAGTGCTACTGCACAGTAACTACAGTTACTGTGCATTTAGTTAGTACTTTATTAAGTAAGTACTAAACTAAATGCACAGTAACTACTGCACATTAATGAATATTTATATGTGCCCACTGTGAGTCAAAATCAGTATTTGTTATTAATGTGGGGAAGAGTGATTTCAAGGACACACAGCTCTGTTATATAACCCCATATAGTTGTTTAGTAGGGTGTGTGATTTTTATGATGGTTGATAGCTTCTAAACAGCAGTTTCCCATTATTTAGATAAAAACTGAAAGGCTGATGCAAAAACAATCGCTAGGTATCTCTCTCCCTGGCTTAGTCTCTTCTATATAGAAAAGAATGATTGCCTCAAAAGGTGTGATTTGTGGTAACAGTCTTGTAAAACAGAAATGGAAAACTGAGTAGGATGTAATTAAGGTGAGTACGTACTAACAGACAGGTCCACATACAGCTAGTTTTGCAGCACTTTTGTGTTTTAGTATATAGCAACAAGGACTAGAAAGAATTTCATGGGTCACTGCCTACTGCTGGTAACTTGGCCACATAATCCCTAAGCTTCCATATATTTTAAAGTAGGAATTTATCCATTTCATTACACATTCAAGAGTGTTTCACCTGTGGGTTTCAATATCCAGAATTCCCACGGAAACAAGAGATAAAAATCTCAATATGTTCGCTTTCCAAAATATAGAGACATCTGAAATGCTGTCTTTTATCCATATTAATCTGCAATATCTTCACATGATTTTTTAATTTGGAGTTAAAAATGAAACACTCACTCTTATACTGGGAAAAACAGTGATGTGAAAATCAGAGCAACAGGAAACTGCCATGGAGGTATGTAGGGGGAGGGGATTATATTTTTTGTGGTTGGTCAGTTCTAGCTATTTATATTCATCCATAAATCTTTTTATCTTGTTTTAATTTTGATTTTAAAAAAGAGAATTTTACAATGATCAAGAGAATATATTCCATTAAACTTGTTTTTTCAGCTTCATTTTTTACATTAAATATAGGCTTATTTCTTGTTTTAAAACACACACTAATTTTAGGAGCATAGAAACACAACCAAAATATTAGCACAGCCTTATCTAATGAAGTACTGAAATGTATGTTCCTTTAAGCATAAGGTTTTGTATATAGGAATCAACTCTGTCTACTCTCATTTATAGAGGTAAGACAAAGGTTAGTCCATTAACTTCACCAGGGTTTTCTAGACTCATACCAGAGTAATTAAGAGCTGAAGTTCTCTGCAAGTAAGTAATCTTTCAGAAAATAAGTCTTATTGCCTTCAATAAAGTATGCCATTGAGATTTCCAGATCTCCTCTCAGGAGTTTCAATTACCTGTATGAGTAGGATTATACACTGAAAGTGAAAATCTGGATCAGGATTCACGGTCAGGATTCATGGAAGTCAATAACAAACTTCTATTAACAGAATCATAGAAACATAGGGCATAGCTAATCTATCAATTAATTAATTGATTGATTGATCAATTGATTAATTGATTAATTAATCAAGGCAAGATTATCCCTGTCTAAATTTATCTGGACAAGTGTTTGTCTAAAATCTTCCAAAGATGGAGATTTCACAACCTCTCTGGGTAACCTGTTCCAGGATTTAACTACCCTCATAGTGAGAAACTTCTTCCTAATATCTGACCTAAATTTCACTTGCAGCAATTTAAGGCTGTTACTCCTTGTCTTGCCTCCATTGGCCACAGCGAATAGTTTATTACCACCCTCTATATAACCATCCTTCAGGAATCTGAAGATTGTGATCAAATCCCCACTTAGTCTTCTCTTCTCCAGACTAAATAATCTCATTCCTTCCAATCTTTGCTCTTAAGTCAGATCTCCTAGATCTCAAATCATTGTTGTTGTTTGCCTCTACTCTTTCCAATTTGCCTGTCTTTCTTGAAGTGCATTGACCCAAACTATACACAGTACTCCAAGTGAAGCCTCACCAGGCCCAAAGAATGACTTCCCTTGACTTGCATGTGATGTTCCTATTAATATAGCCCAGTATGTTACTGTGTTTTTTTTTGTTTTGTTTTGCAATAAGACCACCTTGTTGGTTCATATTCACATTATAACCACTAGTTTCTCATCTGTAGCATAGCCAGTCATTCCCCAGTCTGCATTTGTGCATGTGACTGACTGTTCTGTTCTAAGTGCAGGACTTTGTACTTGTCTTTATTGAGTTTCACTTCACTAATTTCAGACCATTTCTCCAATGTATCCAGGTCATTCTGAATCCTCATCCTACCCTCCAGAGAGTCTACAACTCCACCCAGTTTGGTGTCATCTACAAAATTGTTAAGTCTGCACTCAGCTTTCCACCTTCCAAATCATTAATAAAGATATTAAACAATGAGGTTAGTATTTCATCTGGATTATATTATTTAGTCCTCCACTGTCAGCCTCTTGTCCAGATTTAGAACTATTGGACTAACTTCAAGAACCACAAAATACACTTTGAACAGGTGTTTATAAACTAACTTAACCAATTCAAATATACCTAGATATGGTGACCTTTTCTCAGATCATATCTTTAATTGTACTCTTCTTGCGGCTGATTTAGATTTGCCATGTGGGCCAATTGCTTTACATGGACACCATGGTTAGAAAACAGCTTTGTTAATTATACACAGAGATTGCTTTTCTGATTTCACTTAGATTAATATCTTTCTACAATAACCTCACTGAAATAAATGGGTCAGAATCTTAAAAATAAAAAAAAATCTCTTTCCTTTGCATGGCTTTGCATCAGTGCCCTAGCACAGCACTTCTGGCTTCTGACAGTTCCTGACCTGTCTTTGGAGCCTTTATCAGTCTAAACTACATTGAGTAGAACCTTCCCAGGAATCAAGCATCCCTTTGTGTCTCTTCCCCATCTATCCAAGAAAATCCAGCATGAGATCAGAATCTAGCTTCAACAGTACTTCACCATCTTCTCAGACCAGGGGAAACTTTCCAGTCAGACTAGTGGATGCACAATGAAATCTCATTCTACAGAAACATTTTGTTTGATCCTGTCTCTGACTCGATATCCAGAGGCCTATGGGTGTTATTTCAGAATTAAGTTGGTTCTTGGGTAATGTTTTGTCACACCATTTACAGAGCACTATAAAAAATAAACAGTGAGTATATTAGGATTTTTTTTCACTTGGAAGTCTAAATTCACACATGAAAGATTATCTTCTTCACATGACAAATTAGACATATTTTAAAGGGCACAACTTGTATTGAATCAGACTGTAGTCACCAGATTTGTAAATGTGTCTTCATATCACCAACAGAACAGCAACAGTAATAACATCTGAGCAATTGTCAAAGTTATTTCATATATGCACCATTTAAACAAGATACAGGATGTTAAAATAACACCCACATTGGCCTAACTTGAAATTGAGAAACTGCCCAGCAATGAGCTTGAGTTACTGTTTTTCCACTAGTGATAAACTCACTCCCATCAAAGGAATAGACTTTATGGTTCTTTGTGCTTTTCTAGCAATTTTCAGGGAAGGGGGAGTGTTGAGTGAAGAACTTGGAAGACTATCAGCAATTGAGTAGTAACACTTGGGTTCACCATGCAAAGAGGGTGAGCTACCAGGCTGAGTGAAAGCAGAATGCAAGCTGTAACCAGTACAACCAAGTAGTCTGGGTTGAAAGTTTCAGTAAACTCCTGGGACAATAATCCAGTAAGAGCCTGGGCCAGCTCTACCATTAAGAGCACCCAAAGCAGACAGAATACAGGAAGAAATCTGAGGCTCTCTACTAATCTAAATCTTTAAGCACCTACATACCTTCAAAACTCTGGTTCCAAAATGTTCAAACATATCCACCTAAACTTCCCAAGCTAATAAGAGCATCTCTCTGAAACAATAAATCCTCCCAAGGGTGTAATAGTACTGATAAGAGCGCTATTGCTTTTAAGCGGACGTTCATGGGTGTGCCTATGATGCACATCATTCTATTATTATTGTTTCTGGTATGTTCATAAACATTGCAGGGTCGGTATTGATCTTTGGTCTTGTCCACACAGCAAAACTGAACTATAGTTTACACTGATCCCAATTGAGTTAATTTGGGATAAACCCCTTTGAGGAAACTCATTTGGGTTTGATAGTAGTTTGCTGCTGTTTGGCTTGAACATATTCCAAATTGATGTAAGCTAAATCAATGAAAACATAATTTAAACCACAAGGTAAATATTTACACAGCCTGTTATTCTCCTCTACCACCACACCATTAGTTGAATTTATGCAACCTTCTCCAGTACATAAATCCTAAGTATATTCAACAAAGTTTGCAGAAGCTCCAAAAAAATTCTCAGCAAGTTATCAGTAAATATTGTGTATTAAAAGGAAACTCCTTACTTTTGGAAGAGAAGCTCTGGAGCCTGAGCTCTGAGTGGTCATTGTCAAGACTGTAGTGATGCCCAGAGCAACTCTGGCTGGAGCAGCATCCATGTTGATCCAGAAGGAAACCCAAGACAAAATGACGATCAGTAGGCTAGGAATGTACATCTGGATTAAATAGTATCCCATCTGACGCTCCAAATGAAACTTGACTTCAATGCATGTAAACTTTCCTGGAACATGAAATTGCTTTTATAAATCTTTTTTGCATATCTTATGCACATTTTACCTTATTTTATGAGCCCAAACTAACTGTCCAACTTCAGACTCATAGATTTCATAGTGCACAAAAAAATAAAGCTTTAAAGGCAGCAATCCTAATATGAAAATATTGTTCTGGCTCAGAACAATAACATAATAGCACTTATAGCATTGTAGCGTCAAGTATAAAACCAAAGGATATTTGAAACCCTGGCTACAAAGCTATGCCAAATTTTCCACATCAGCCAAGGAAACAGGCAATAACACTGTTGCTCCATTTTGAGAAAATGTAATTTTTTTATTGTTATTTTGAGAGAAATTTAAACAAGACTGCCCTGTAGCATAATAACAATTCTGGTGGTGGAAAGTGACATGTATAAAAAATATTATATTTTATTTATGCCTCTGTGTGAACATTTTACAAGAAAACCAAACCAAAGAAGTTTTGTAAACAGTCCCATTCTTCTTTGGTTTTCTGTGCTCTTTCTTGTGTCGATATATCTGGCCAATGGTCCAGTCACTCTTCTACATCAACGGTGCCCAACCTTCTGGCCCTACAGGCTAGACAAGTAGCATGGGGTCAGTCTGTGGGGTCATCCCTTCCAACACTCAAATTTACTGCTGGCTGCAACTGTGGACTACATATCCCAGAGGCACCTGGAAGCAGGGAGAGACAATGATCCTGCAGAGTCCTGTTACTTTGAACCTGGACTGCAAATCCCAGAGACCTCAGGGGCAGGAGGAAGAGGTAGTGAACACACAGCCAGAGAGCTGTGCTCTAGCACCCCCCAGCTTCTGGCCTGAGCCACTGCAGGCATGTGGCTGCATTTCCTGAATCAAAGGTAAATGACTGTTCATTTCTGTTTCAATTTAATCTGTGCAGTTTAGACTAACCTGCCAAGCTTGGGCTTTTTGACCGTCTGTACCTAGCCCTAAAGAAAACACACAGCTTTCAGCCCTCCAAATCTGCAAACGTTAGGAGATATTCTAGAGACACGGGTCATTTGAGAATTTGGAAGTTCTTCTGACTACATACTACTTCTTATCTCACTTTGTCATGCTGCAAAGGTTTTATCACTGCTCCTGGACGCTTCCTGTGAGCTGGGACTTCCATGCCACAGAACAGGAGGTAGACTAGAAGTACTAGCCTGTGCAGGGAACCTATATAGGTTTTCTCAGGGGCTGCCTATCTGACCTCACAATCTTGTCCCTCTTCTTTTACCTCCCATGATGCTGGAGGGTTTATTTTTGGTGATCTGAACTTTCAATTAATAAACTGGTAAAAAAAAGTTTCATTTTCAGAGAACTGAAATAGTTTAATTCTGCCCTTTAAATTTTTAGATTTTTTTTAAAAAAAGCATATTAAAGAAAAATGTGCTTTCCTTTACACATATTAAAAGAAAGCAGGTCAAGCAACAAGTCAGCTTCAGCAGTTGAATCCCCATCTCGTGTATCAGAAACACTCAGACTTCAGGCACTCCCCTCAATAGACATTGAAACAAAATGTCTCAAACTGAAGAAGCAACATGCTTCATTCAAAAATGTTGAAATGATCAAGTTTTATTTTTCCAAAATTAAAATTTTTTAAAACAAATAAAAATTGGCAAAATCAACACATATTTGCAAGATATTTTGTTTCCACTGAATTTGCATTTTTCACCAGAAAAAACTTTCATGCAAAAAGAAATAAATCCACAAATCAACCTGGTTCTCCTATTACAAAATTGCATGAAGTATAGTAGGAGAAGTAATTATTAAAGGAAAAATTAAGAGGCTGCTCACCAGTATTGTAATGTTTTGTGCAGTAACCAAGTTCCTTATCTTCTTTCAAAATAAACTGTGGCAGAGTTAAACCTTCTGCAACTTGCACTGGACCATCACTTAGCCACTCAAATATCAGGTCATTCATTGTGTAACCAACTAAAATAAACAAATCATTGTTCATTAGATTGTCACAGGGTGGAGTGTCAAATGAAAACAAATCGTGAAGGAGAAAATAACCACACTTTTGAATGGACAAATTTCAGTACACCTACATCTTGTGAATCTCTAACATTGCTATGAACATTATTAAGCCCCATAACCACATCACATATGTAACTCCATTAACATGGATGAAATATTCCACTCAAACCTCAGAATTACTGAATATATGCTACAGTTTGCTTCCAGTAGAAAGCCACTTTTAATACACTGCCAAGGACACTATTCACAACAAAAGCTTTATTTCAGTGTAGCTGCATATCAGTCTCTCTGATTCATTTTGTTTTCATCACTCTGTGATTAAACAATTCTTAATTTTGATAAAGATGATTGTTTTTAGATTATTGCATTTTACAAAAAAAAGGAAATACTTTTGTAATTCTTTGAAACCCAGTACTGAGAAACATACAGCAGAAGGAGACAGAATAAGAGGAGAAACAATGTAGAACGGTAGTGTTAAAGACAGCCTGGAGGCTGGATACAGCCCTGGGAAGCTTATCAGGTATCCTTGTTTTCTCTGATAATATATATAACAGAAAAAAGGGAGGGGGGGCTTTAATCAGAACATTTTTTATTTGTTTTTATCATAGAAAACCAGGAACCCTGCTCATCATTCATCCCTCATTGCTGCCTGTGGGTCTCGAGCAGGCCAGATGGCCCCACATGCCACATGTGGTGCCAACTCCAGCGTAAGTCAGCTCTATGCTGGATCTAGTGACACATCCCAGAGTAGCCGTTGCATGCAGGAAGGCCTCAGAGTATCAAAATGGCTGCTGCATGCAGCACAGCCCTTTAGTCCCAGCACAGCCACCCCACTCAACAGGTGGCAAGACCGCACTGCAGGTGGCATCCACTGCAGGCAGAAATTTCAGGACAGGCACTGTATCCTGCATGTGAGGCTCGCCTATGGGTCAGAACCCACCTGTGGACTGGTCCTGTGCAACTAATCTGATGCACAGGGCTGGATGAATTTGATGCCCCTGATGTAGAAGATGGGCATCTCCTTGCAAGAGGCAAGGCAATTTCTGTCCTTGTGTTATAAAGACACTCTGTTTCAGCATGCAGGTAAAAGTCTGCAAAAACTGTCTCATGATCTGTATTGAAACTGTGATAATGAAGTTGTGGGGTTTGATATATTTTTTTAAGTTTTCGACCAGGTAAATCATCTGATTACTCACAGCTTTCTAGTTGCATTGTGCATGTCTGCACATCCATAGGAAAATTCTTCAAGTCCATGGGACAGGATAGGGTTAAAGTTAGCCTAAATATAGATAAGAACAGTAAACTACCATTACAAATATTTATAAAGTTATATTTAAAGCAGAAAAATCATAGGTCAGCAATATTTAAAGAAAGTCAGTCAAGTTTGTGAGCCAAAGAGGTTTAGTTTTACAGTGAACATCCTCTCAGGTATTTGTGATAAGGACTGAAATTGTATGACCAAAGCTTAACATCATGAAAAGATTTGTTTACGGTTCTCTCTTTTAAATTCTATTTGCATAGTTTCTTTCTGTACATACAGGTTCTGTTTCTCATGCAAGTAGGGGGGAAACATTTTTAACAATAATAGAAAAATGTGATTATAAAATGATAAAAATTAGTAGAATGACTCAGGTAGTATCCAAAATGATCTGGACCATTTTGAAAAACAGCTGAGATTCCAAGATGTCATTCCTTCAAGATTTATAGAAGAAGTAAATGTAATATTTCAGACTACTCTCAGTTCCACAAAACTTTAAGGAGCATACCCTTTCTCATTCATTCATTCATTCATTCTATTTATATGCCACCCTTCCCAACAAAGGCTGAAGGCAGCTTGCAGTAAGAATGATCACTTAATAATAAAACTGTATACTACAAATGACTTTCGCCTAGCATAAAGATTCAGAAACAACAGTGCAGGCACCAGCAATGAACTGCCGGAATCTGTTGGTTCCTGACCATTTATTTCATATTGTCTTACTCCTCCCCACTTTGCAAAAACAGAACATCTAAAAAGAAGAATGAAATGAAGCGCAAATATAGAGGAAGTAGGTAAATCCTGCAGCTGTTAATAAACAGGAGTTTCCCCTTGGATGGCAGTGGGAACTATTTCATCCAGTATGTTCTAAATCTTTTTCCAGAAAGGGCAAAACAGTCATTACACCAGATAGAGCTAATACTATTTGTTAATACTCTGTTACTAATAATTTTCCATGCAATCAATTATTGTCATTGTTACAGAAAAAACTATGTGATCTTGACTATGGATAAGCAGTGTCCATGAGACTAATGTCACCTGTACAAGTGAAATATTTGAGAACTCCAGGAAAAGTCATATAGAAACCAGGGGTAGCAGACAGTGGTATAAAAGGGGATTTCAATAGCAAAAGGGACAGCTGGGAAGGTGCTTAGACTATACCAACTGTAATCTATTCATTGTAACCTGGTGCTCAGTTTGTTGTGCCACTTGTTGCCTCTTGTCAGATGCTTATATGGTAAACTTTTTTGGAGAAGGGACTGTGTTTTTATTATATGTGTGTATAGTAGGCATTACCACAATACCCATAAATAGCAATAATTAAAACAATAAAAAATGGATGATAGTCAAGCAATTTAGATCAAAACTAAATTCAACAATTCATTTTTCAATCCAGTTTAAATTAATGTGTAACCACCTGCTAAATACACTACCTACCTAATGCTCCTATCTTGCTCACCACACAGGTTTTCTATTGTGATAAAATGTAAAAGATGATAGTACTCTGAACTCAGTGCCAGACTGTCAAAATACTTAAGTGCCTGGAGATGCAGATTGACTCCTAACACTGTTTTCAGAAGTGCCTGCCTAAGCACCCACATTTTACTGAAATGATTAGGAGCTAAGCACGTGGGTATTTTGGACACCTATCTGCATTATCAAGAACATAAAGACCTTTGAAAATGTGACCCTCAGTCCTTTACATATTTTTCCAAATTCTTTGAAAATGTTAGTAAGTTATATATTTGCCATATCATTTACCAGACTAAAGATTGAGCTATCTTAGCTGCTAAACCATGGCAGTAATAAAAGATTGTTTCTCTTATTTTCTGAAATCTTAATATCAAACTTGTCGTCTTCTTCTTCTGCTAAAGATAGGTTATATGTGTAAGTTCATTTTCTGACCTAAAAGGAAGAAAGGAAGGAAGGAAGAAAGAAAACTGAGCTGCGGAATATGTAATTTGCTTGAATTCACCTGAGTAAGTCTGGCCCCTCTGCCACACATTGCTCACAGACTGATGAGAGCTGGTGAGACAGATTCTATCACTCACCCTTGAGAAAGGGGCTCAGTGGGAGTTTGACCTCAGACTTTCAGCTTAATGAAAGGAAGCATCTAGTTTTAGCCCCTCTAATAAAGCAAATGCAAGAAAGCAAACACTTCTAAATACCGGCTCCACGCCTCTGAGGTGTAAACAGAGCTGCCTCCATTGACTTCAAGGATACTATAGCTAGTTGCTTCAGGAGATGAGCACAGAACAGAATGTATAATGTTTGTTCACAGGACAAATAACAACATCTCCTCTTTCTTCTCCTAATGAACGGTACTTTTCTGGGAGACTAAATTATTCACTGCTCACCTGGACAAATGGGGAGTCATTTCTATTCACTGCATCAGTGAGAGCAGCTCAAGAGAACATCTTCAGAGATAGTTTCATAGTTTTTAGGGTCAGAAGGGACCTGAGCAGATCATCGAGTCCGACCCGCTGCCATGGCAGGAAAAAGTACTGGGGTCAAACGACCCCAGCAAGGTGTACATCTAGCCTCCTCTTAAAGACCCCCAGGGTAGGAGCCAGCACCACTTCTCTTGGAAGTTGGTTCCAGATCCTAGCCGCCCTGACCATGAAGTAGCACCTCCTGATATCTAGCCTAAATCTACCCTCTGCCAACTTGTGACCGTTATTCCTGGTCACTCCTGGTAGTGCTCGGGGGAACAGGGACTTCCCCAGTGCCTGCTGGTCCCCTCTGACTAGTTTATAACAGGCCACAAGATCCCCCCTCAGCCTTCTCTTGTGAAGGCTGAACAGGTTCAGGTCCCGTAGCCTCTCCTCATAAGGCCTGCCCTGCTGCCCCCTGATCATGCGAGTGGCCCTCCTCTGGACCCTCTCCATGTTGTCCACATCCCTCTTGAAGTGCAGCGCCCAGAACTGGACGCAGTACTCCAGCTGCGGCCTGACCAGTGCCGCATAGAGGGGGAGTATCACCTCCTTGGACCTGCTCGAGATGCATCTGTGTTGGTACCACAGTCCCCCACAGTCCCCCAGTTTCTGAATGAGAATGAGGTGAGAGAGAGTGTCGAAAGCCTTCCAAAAGTCCAGGAAGACTATGTCCATTGCTACCCCTGCATCTAAGGATTTGGTGACCGGGTCGTAAAAGGCCACCAGGTTGGTCTGACAGGACCTGCCTCTAATGAACCCATGTTGGTTGCCCCTAAGTATAATCTCCCCTGCTGGCCCCTCGTGGATATGTGCCAGAATAATTCTCTCAAAAAGCTTGCCCAGGATTGAGGTAAGACTAACTGGCCTATAGTTTCCC